GCGCTCATGGTGTGGCCATGTCTCCTCTTCCTTGGGGGTTGCTATCTTGGCGCCTTCTGTGGCACCCATACAAGACTGTTATGTGCCTTCCATTGCGATGCGCATTTCGCTTGAGATGCGAAGCATCATGTCCTACACAAAATCCTTAAAGCCTATGCGCATGGACTGCGAAGCAATATCGTGACCCCTAAGGTGACGCAACTGCTCTTGTTGGGCTTTCAGCATGGCAGTCATATTCTAGGAGATGGACTCTAATTTTCTATTAAGGTCAGCCTGTTCTCCCAGCTTCCCCAGCCGCTCTTCAGTAACCCTCAACTCTCTCTCCATCCTCTTTGTCGCCTCGAATCGCCTCATTCTTTCCGTCGCGAGGCACGACTTCCACTCCAAATTGTTTTCATCTTCCTTGGCCTGTCGGCATAGGGGATCCTCCTCTCTTTCCAACTCTTGTTCCAACGCCTCCCTTTCCGCCCAAGGGACGAACACTATTGCTTTCTCTTCCTCCCCCAGGGCTAGGTTGGCCACCCATTCAGTCACCAACTTCTCCACTTCTGCCTCTTTGGTCTGGCCACCACTAGACTCCCCTCTTTCTGCAATTCTCCCTGTTACTATCTCCAGGGGGATCTCTACCTCCCACATCTTCTTCTTCCTCTTCTTTTACGGCTGCTGCTGCTTCCTCCTCTTTCTGCAGCCGTTTCAATTCTTCCTCCAACTCTTTCTCTTTCTTGGCCTTCTCTGCCAGTAGGCCACCTTCTTTGCCTTCTTCTCCAACTCTTTCTTCTCTCTCCTCGCCCTCTGTTCTGCAAGGATCCTGGCGGTTTCCTCTTCCTGCTCTCTCGTGTAAGGGGAGGTCTCAGTACCACTATTGGTGATGACTTAACATGCAACAGTTATGCCAGAATCCTAGGGGAAAGAAGAACTGACAGAGGGTTTCCCACAAGGAGAACCCCACGAGCAAGGAATACATCGGATAGTCATCCATGATGGTAGGTGCACAACTCAATGACGGTTCCACTCCTCACCACTTAGACTTAGCTACACACTAACTCAATCTAAACTACTAGTACTACTAAAACTCTCACTACAAGACTCTTATGCTGATCAAGAGGCATTTAAGGAGATCCCCCGAACTCCTCAAGAATTATTTAACGTCGCAAACAGGACGATACGATCAGCAAAGTCCTCTCAAGACTTAGACAGCTAGATGCGCAGCCTACAACTCGAGTTCAGGCCTACCACGCCACACTGAGCAACCTGCCGGTCTGTACCGGTCCTTGGGGGCCTTGTCTGCAGGTCGGTCGTTGGGGGCCTTGTCTGCAGGCCGGTCTGTACCGGTCCTTGGGGGCCTTGGTTGTCTGCAGGTCTGTCCCGTATAGGTTTGGTCACCACAACTCTATTGACCACATACACGAAGTCCTATCACATGGACAAAAGTGACTCGATGTTGAAAGACGAGAGACAAACGCTCAGCAAGTACCAAGGTTGTGTGTATAATCACAGAGTAAGGGAATAGGCCAAGGCTTGGAGAGATTATACCGCGCTCCAGCTTGGCCAACGTTTGTGGTCAACGTTTTTTGTCAACACTCTGAGTCAACGCTGGTCAGCGTCGATCAATGCCGGTTAGCGTCGATCAACATCGGTCAACGTCGTTCAACATCGATCAACGTCGGTCAATGCCGGTCAATACCTTGGTCAACCTCGCTCGGCACCAGTCAACTCTGTCTTGATCATCTCTTCGACCTCCTGGCTATGGCCGCCGACCTTCACTCTCGTCAACCTTCCTCTCTCCCCTTTTCTCTTCCTCGTCCACCTTGGCTATGACTTCTCTTTCCTCCTTAGTCTCTCCTTCCTCCTCCTTTCTTTCTCTCTCCTCCTCCTTTGTCACTTTTTCTTTACTTACATATGTAATTAGTAGCTGAATTCCCATTTTGTATACTTCATTTCCTAGATTATTCCGTTTATTTTCCTCCTTAGTCTCTCCTTCCTCCTCCTTTCTTTCTCTCTCCTCATCCTTTGTCACTTTTACTTTACTTACATATGTAATTAGTAGCTGAATTCCCATTTTTTATACTTTATTTCCTAGATTATATCTTCACTTCAATCTCCTTCCTCTTTGACTCCAAGCTCGATGGCTATGGCCGCCACTTCATCTTCTTCCTTCACGCATCCAATCTTCTCCCCTCTCCCCCCCCCCCCTCCTCCTCCTCCTCTCTCTCTCTCTCTCTCTCTCTCTCTCTCTCTCTCTCTCTCTCTCTCTCTCTCTCTCTCTCTCTCTCTCGTCGTCGTCTTCTTCTTCGTCACGGTCTTCAATCACGCGATGGTCTTCTTCAACGATGGTGTCAATCTTCTTCCCCGATGCGGTGGTACTCTTCTTCGACGCACGACAATCTTCAAAGTTATCGGGTGCGCAGACAAATGCTGCGCGGCGCGCACGATAAGCAGTGTGGAGCGGGGACGCATAGAGAGTAGCTGCGCGCGCAACAGGCAGCGGGTGCGCGCAAAACAACGGGTGTGCACGGCGCACGGGCTTGCTGTGGGCAACGGGCACATGTCGAACAGCTGTGCGCATCAGGCAGAGGGGCAGTGACGCGCGGCGAAACAATGATACGCGCAAAGGCGACGGGCGTGCGCGAATGGCGCAGCGCGCACAGAAAATGGCAGCTCGCGTGGCGCGAGATCTGGGCGCAAGGCACCCCTCCTCTCCACGTGAACGGCGATGGTCATCGATGATGATGACGGCGACGACGCTCTTCCATGATGACGACGACGGCGATGACGCGCAGGACAGCGGGTACCAGCTCCAATACCAATGCATTCAGACTCTTCTCAACTTGCTTCAGCGTGCATGCAAACAGATGACGAACAAACTTGGCGCTCGGTGCCCACACAAAGCTCAAAGATGAAGCATGGCCAGGAACACAGCTCATATTCAAACTTGTCTTGATTGGCTATGGCGCATAGCGCCAGACAATGATTCCCACCCAATCAACTGTATCCACTGCGCCGCAGCCTTGGTGTCATGATTAGAAACACATGCAAGCAACTTATTTGCACACACATACACACACACACACACACACACTAGGATCATCCCGAATGTCCCACACACACACGCACTAGGATCACCCTGAATGTCCCACACACTCCCACACTCTGCACACACACACTCCCTTCCCTATCCTATGTGGCAGCTATGGCTGCCGTCTCCCTCCTATGCTAGCTTGCGGCTGCAGCAGCGTCTTCCTCCTCTTAGCCCTCTTCTTCCTCGGGCACCTGCAGACCTCCGTAGCACAAGACGCTCCGACAGTGCTTCCGCACGGCTCACAGGCAGAATGAATGAACGACTTAACGCTGCCTATCGTCGTTGGTCTGCCCTTAGACCCTTGGCCCGGGACGTACACAGTCCCACATGGTACTTGCTGACTAGACATAGTGCACCCTGGGACTGGGTACTGCTGACTGGACTAGGAAGGACTTGGACTGCCCTTTGCTGACACACACACACACTAGGATCACCCCAAATGTCCCACACACAGGCACTAGGATCACCCTGAATGTCCCACACACTCCCACACTCTGCACACACACACTCCCTTCCCTAACCTATGTGGCAGCTATGGCTGCCGTCTACCTCCTATGCTAGCTTGCGGCTACGGCCGCGTCTTCCACCTCTTAGCCCTCTTCTTCCTCGGGCACCTGCAGACCTCCGTAGCACAAGACACTCCGACAGTGCTTCCGCACGGCTCACAGGCAGAATGAATGAACGACTTAACGCTGCCTATCGTCGTTGGTCTGCCCTTAGACCCTGGGCCCGGGACGTACACAGTCCCACATGGTACTTGCTGACTAGACAAAGTGCACCCTGGGACTGGGTACTGCTGACTGGACTAAGAAGGACTTGGACTGCCCTTTGCTGACTGTGCTGGGACTGCCTCTCGTTACCTTTCGAAACTACAGCAGCTACGACCTGCGCTGACCCTACGACAACTAAAACTAAGGTTTACGGGTCAAACCCCTGCGACCACACTATATACAACAGTTGAGCATACGACTTTCAGGGATCAGGTCGCGGGTTCAAACACACAGGGTCAACGGTACTATACACGGGTGAGGGGAAGGTCTAGGGATCGAGTCCTGGGTTCTGCATCTGTTACCGCCATAGGTGAAGACCGTTCCAGATCTAAACAGAGCTATTAATAACAACAGAGAGTTGGTAATGTTTTTCATGTCAGGGGGATGGTGTGCAGAAACAGAGGGTGGCTGTAAAATGCTACACGGGAAACAAGATTTTCTAGGATAACCACTCAGATAACCACTCGGAGGACAAACACTTGAGCAGACTGAGCCAGTGTGGCGCTGTATGGAAAAGGGAAAGAGTGAAGTCAATGGAGGAGGTGTAAACGAGCATTACCAGCTCATGGGGCTCCATCCACGGGAGTCTCGAGGGAGATCCAAAAGAGTAGTTGACAATTACGGTGGCAGGAGGTCGACAGGAGGGAAGATGAGAAAGGCAGAGCTCACAATATGAGGACCGGACCGGCGAGGATGTTCAGAGCATGGCAGGTCAAGATTGGCAGAGAATGCCGAGAAATGCAATTTTTATCATTCTTCTTTTAGCTCCCCCTTACTGTACCTCTCACGTACAAGGCTTGCCAGGTTGTTGAAGGTGAACGCGAGCTGCCCGCATCTTCGTGTGCCATAACAGCCCACTTGTACGATGTGAGAAAGTGGTAAAGTAAAGGTGATGGGGATAAACACAGAGAAAAGATGGAGACAAGACAAAGGAAAGAAAGGCAAAAGGTAATCAAGGGCAAGTAAGGAGTGTGGAATGAAGATGACAGCATAGCAAAGGTTATATATATATATATTGTCACATCACTACAAACTAAAAAGCGCACTTTGCGGAATATATATGCATCGTCATATATTTGACATATATCGTCAAACAGAGCTGCCCGGCAAACCATATAGGCCGAGAGGGAGAAGAGGACAAGAAACGAGGGCTGTGACAAACTGTTTTGTTGGAGTTGCATCGACTCATCAGGAGGCTGAACCCTCAACAGTCTGCAGATCCGCAGAATCCCCTAACTGATTACACTGTAAGTGATAATCCACCTTAACCCCGGTTGTGCCCGACAACTGATACCTTGACGTGGGCACCAACCACTGCCCTCAAGATACCCGTGACAAAAATCAAAGCAGACTATCACTCACCCACACCAGATGGAAAACTCTACAGATTGTCGGTTCACACCCCATCACAAGCCAGCAAAACACCCACGAAACAAAGCAAGGTCTGTCACAGCCAAAAACTACACCCTAGACACGCCGCTGGCATATATATAAATCATATATTGTCATATATAGTCAAACAGAGCTGCCCGGTGAACCGTAGGCAGAGAGGGAGAAGAGGACAACAAACGAGGGGCTGTGACAAACTGTTTCGTCGGAGTTTCACCGACTCATCAGGAGGCTGAACCCTCAACAGTCTGCAGAATCCCCTAGCTGATTACACTGTAAGTGATAACCCACCTTAACCCCGGCTGTGGTTAAGCATCAACAACTGCCCGACAACTGATACCCTGAGGTGGGCCAACCACTGCCCTCAAGGTACCTGTGACGAAAATCAAAGCAGACTATCACTCACCCATACCAGATGGAAAACTCTACAGACTGTCGGTTCAGACCCCATCACAATATATATAATCAGATATTGTCATATACATACACGTCCATTTCTATTCATATGCCTAGACATAGACTATTCCATCGGCTTACAACCTTCTGCAATAGAGCTCCATCATATGTCTGGCACCATAAATTACTCCAATAGAGTTAGGACAATGTACTGCAATAGAGGTACATCACATTTACATACAATACACTGGTTGCACAGTATTACATTTACTGCTATTGAAGATATCTTATTATATTATATCACATTACAAATGTTCTCCAGACACACTTGTAGGAGGAAGTCTCTCATTTCCATTTGAAACACGGCATTTGGGAGAACATAAGAGTTGAAGCAGAGCAGATAAACAATCTGGCAACTCTATACTTCTTGAAGCTCAAATGATTATCCCGAAGATGGAAACTTGCAGGCAAGAGATCAAAGGTCAACTGAGCCCCCTTGCCCTCTGATAGACCGGTATTCAGGAAACTGTCCCTTCCATCTTCCGGCCAACATCAAATCTGAACTTAAGCCAGATATGATTCAGTATGCCGCTTCTTCCCTCCTCGCTCCTCACCCGTGCCCCTCTCCACCTTTCAGGCTCCAGATCGCCTTCTCCTATTCCATCTCCCTCCTCCCTTTTTCCTACGCTGCTTTCAGTGGATATCCTTCACAAAGCAGAACAACCCGCTCGTGACCTTGAAACCAGCGGCAGCTTATTGGTTCCAATAGTTCTTTCCCTCCCTCCATCCTTCCACTTCCTCCACCTTCTCTTCCACCACCTCTCTTCCCACATAACCCTTGTGTCCGCCCCATGCAACGAGCTCACATGGATGATCACCACTGGCGATACAAAAATTATAATCACACGATGACAAACCTTCAAATCTCAAGTTGCGAGCTTTCAACAATCACACCTGAACAAAACCTCCTTCGGAGAGGTCATCACCATTCTGTCTTCCTCACCGATTCCTTGTCCTTCTCAACCTTTCAAGCTCAAAATCTCATTTTGCTATTCTGTCTCCCTCCTCGCTTCCTACAGAGCTTTCACTAGATATTGCTGAAACAAAGCAGAACAACTTGCTCATCAACCTTGAAACAAGCAGCTTATTGGTTACACTAGCTCTTTTCCTCCCTCCCTCCCTCCTTCCACGTCTTCCGTCTCCTCTTCAGCCCCCTCTCTTTCCACATTACCCTCTCCTTGGCCCTCAGGAAAAGAACTTGTATTGACAATAACAACTGGCGATACAAAAAAATATTTAAAAATATCATCGCACCACATACACGGAGTTCTCAAATTGTGATTGCTCCACATTCGCCAGGGTAACTTGCCATACACTCTTTCATGGAGAGCACCCTACACCTTTGTTGAGGCTCTCACAAATCTGCAGCTCCCTCCTTCCTTGCTGCCCACTCGACCATGTGTCCAACACGAGTGCTTTCCCTTATACCAGCAAGTGTTCTTCCTTTTCAGCAATAACTGGATTTAATCGCAGATAACTGCCACCACTGAAGGAGAAACAGAATGCATCTCCACATGAAAAATCTCCCGAATTCCCTGTAAAATGCAGCGCACATCCATTCTGGCCCAAATCAGGCACTGAGTTCTCCCCCTCCTGTGGAAACCCCGGTACCATCCTCGTCCCCCTCCCGCTTCTCTGGCCCAGAACTTCTCCCCCATCCCGTGGAAACCTGCACCAGTCATCCCATTCCACATAGTACAAGTCATACTAACCCACGCAACCAAACATTTTAGTCCAAACCAAGGCCCCATGCATGCCTCTCCCTCACCCCCCTGTGGAAACCTGTAACGGTCATCCCATTCCGCATAGTACCGGTCATACTAACCCAAACAACCAAACATTTTATTCCAAACCAATGTAATTGCCACCATGCATGCCTCTACCTCACAATTCCCCTTCCCCCAACCCCCCCCCTCCCCTCTCCCCCCCCCTTCTGCCCCGCCTTCCCCTGACACTGCATTTGACTCATTTAGCTTCTCTACCCTCTTTAGCTGATGCGCCCCAACACATCCTCATCTTTTTTTTTTTTTTCTTTTTTTTTTTTTTAAAGCCCAGGGTGTTGTAGAGGCTGGTTGTCCTGACAGGGTAGGCCACCTACCCTACCCATCCCCAGTTAATACTCCTAGCGCAACCCCTGTTCCTACTATCCTACCTCAGTGGGACCAGCACTCAGTGCCATCACCCTACCAGTATCGAGGGCAATTTGGACCAGACAGCAGTGACAAGCAACAAGGCTGGCCCACCATCCCAGCCCTGATGGAAGCGGAAGCGGACGAACCTTGCCGTACAGGAACTTCGGACGCCAGGCTCATGCAATCTTCTACAGGCCCAATTCAGAGAGTCCACCCAGCAGGAGCCCTGATGGAAGCAGAAGCGGACGAACCTTGCCGTACGGGAACCTCGGACGCCAGGCTCATGCAATCTTCTACAAGCCCAATTCAGAGAGTCCACCCAGCAGGATTACCTAGGCCAGCGCCCGCGGACACATCCTCCCGTCTTTCCCCTAGCTTACCCAAGGCTGGGCGGAACTCAGACTAGCCGGAGCGACTTATATCCCTACCCTACCCTAGAGCTAAGCCATGCATGAGTAGACTCCGTCATATACCTGATAGACCCCCCAAGCCCAGTATCGTAGTTGTGTGCATGTGTATGTGCCCAGAGGCTATGTATGCATTCGTCTTAGTTACCCTGACTCATAGTAACACCCCCCATCCCTACAAGTCTTATAAGAAACACTCCTCCACTCTCTCGCCCATCCTCTCATAAAAAAAAAGAGTCA